TATGGGAAACCATTGGAACATTCAAGTTAGACTTTAGGAGTCAGAAAAATTCAGTGAATGGGGGACGTTATACTACCTTTGGAGTCAAGGTTGAGATTAGACTCATTGCTGCCCTCAAGGAATGTAGAACACCCAGAAATGCTCACACAAACAGTGAACAGCAAAAGAATATTATTATAGAGCAACTTAATAGGACAAATTAGTATCTGTGGTTAATGGCACCCTTTTTCATCCCTATTGTTTTAAATTTTATTCTAAAGACAATATATGCTCCTGGTTTAAAAAAAGAAAACACACAGAAGAATACAATGTTAAAGAAGAAATTCAGGGCTGGGCTGTGGTGGCTCATACCTGTAATCCCAATACTTTAGGAAGCCGAGGCAGGAGGATCGCTTGAACCCAGGAGGGCTTCTCCTGCCTCAGCCTCCTAAAGTGTTGGGATTACAGGTATGAGCCACCATGGCCTGGGCAATATAATGGGAACTCATCCCTACAAAAAAAAAGAAAAAAATTTTTTTTTTTTTTTTTTTTTTTTTCCCAGAGAGAGTATGGATTTGTCACTCAGGCTGGAGTGCAGTGGCACAATCTTGGCTCACTGCAGCCATGATTTCGTGGGCTCAAGCAATCCTCCCACCTCAGCCTCCTGAGTAGCTAGGACTACAGGAGTGTGCCACCACACCCGGCTAATTTTGGTATTACAAAAAAAATTTTTTAACTTAGCTGAGCATGGTGACGCATGCCTGTAGTCCCAGTTTCTCGGGAGGTTGAAGTTGGGGGATCGCTTGAGCCTGGGAGGCGGAAGCTGCAGTGAGCAGAAATCATGACACTGCCCCCCAGCTTAGACAACAGAGCGAGACCCCATCTCTAAATAAATAAACAAAAATAAAAATAAATTTATTGTAAAATTAAAACATGTTAGTGGTAAATTTTTTTTTTGGGGGGGGGTGTGTGTGTGACAGAGTCTCACTCTGCCGCCCAGGCTGGAGTGCAGTGGCACTATCATTCCTGGCTCACCACAACTTCCACCTCCCAGGTTCAAGCAATTCTTCTGCCTCAGTCTCCCTGTAACTGGGATTACAGCTGCCTGCCATCACACCCGGCTAATTTTTGTATTTTTAGTAAAGACGGGGTTTCGCCATGCTGGCCAGGCTGGTCTCGAACTCCTGACCTCAAGTGATCCGCCCACCTGGACCTCCCAAAGTGCTGGGATTACGGGTGTGAGCCACCACGCCTGGCCAATTTTTTTTTTTTTTTTTTTTTTTAATTTTGAGATGGAATTTCATTCTTGTTGCCCAGGCTGGAGTGCAATGGCACGATCTCGGCTCACTGCAACCTCCACCTCCCAGGTTCAAGGGATTCTCCTGCCTCAGCCTCCCAAATAGCTGGGATTACAGGCACCTGCCACAATGCCCGGCTAATTTTTTGCATTTTTTGTGGAGACGGGGTTTCAACATGTTGGCCCGGTGGGTGACCTCAGGTAAGCCACCTGCCTCGGCCTCCCAAAGTGCTGGGATTACAGGCTTGAGCCACCACACCTGGCCCCAAAAATTTTTGAAGTAAAGAGGAATATAATGTTGGCTGGGCACAGTGGCTCATGCCTGTAACCCTAACACTTTGGTAGGCCAAGGCGGGCGGAACACCTGAGGTTAGGAGTTTGAGACCAGCCTAACCAACATGGCGAAACCCCGTCTCTACTAAAAATACAAAAATTAGCCAGGCATGGTGTGGGTGCCTGTAATCTCAGCTCCTCAAGAGGCTGAGGCTGGAGAATCACCTGAACCCAAGAGGTAGAGGTTGGGGTGAGCCGAGATCATGCCATTGCACTCCAGCCTGGGCAACAAGAGCGAAACTCCATCTTAAAAAAAAAAAAAAGATGAAAATTCCTCCCCTCACTCTGGAGGGGTGATCACTGTTAATAGTAAGCGAATCTTCTAGATTCTTTCTGTATACAAATAAACAGGTTGAACCGTATGAAATTTCTGACACTTGATTGTTTTGACCTACTAAAATACTAGTTTTATATAATTCGACCTAATCTTTGCATGTGTATTTGACAAACATTCTGTAGCTTGCTTTTTTTACATGCCAGTGTAGTATGCGTATCTTTCAATGTCTGTTCATACAAACATAATAAAGATCACCCACAACTTTTATTAAGCAGGGCACTATGCACCAGGTACTCTTCACTCAAAACAGCCTTTGGAACAGACCCTATCATTATCCTCACAGAAGAGGAGACTAAGGTGTTGGAGAATTAAACATTTGCTCACGAGCACACAAGTGGGAAAAGTGAAATCTTTCCAACTACACACAGTGGTTCCTGACATAGTATATCTGTTTCTTACTGAATGAGCCTCAGTTTGTCTCCAATTTTTCATACTATAAACAATACTTAATGAGCATTCTTGTAACGTATATCTCCCATGGGTGTCTGTGGGTTGGATGATTAGAAATTCTGGGGTGGCTGGGCGCAGTGACTCACGCCCTGTAATCCCAGCACTCTGGGAGGCTGAGGCGGGCGGATCTCCTGAGGTCAGGAGTTTGAGACCAGCCTGGCCAACATAGCGAAATCCCATCTCTACTAAAAATACAAAAATTAGCCGAGCATGGTGGCACGCATCCATAATCCCAGCTACTCAGGAGGCTGGGACAGGAGAATCACATGAACCTGGGAGGTGGAGATTGCAGTGAGCCAAGACCGCGCCACTGCACTGGGCGTGCAGTGAGAAATTCCATCTCAAAAGACCGCGCCACTGCACCTGGGCGGCAGATTGAGACTCCATCTCAAAAAAAAAAAAAAAAAAAAAAAAGATAAGGACATGGGTAGTTTGAAAAGAGGCCAAGAAACAGCAGATGAGAATATATAAAACTTGAACACTTGTCACTTCAGAAGTGGTCAGTGTATGTTGGCATTATTCTCTTGAGGTGGTCACCCTGGGTTTTAAGTACTAGGCATTGAGCCAGTGGCACCCCTTAGAGTAGGGATTGGTATCCTGTGACCACAGATGTGTTAAGAAGACTTTCCTGGAATTAGTGATAAAAACTCACATGGCTTAAGGGAGAGGGGATTTATTGGTTCACATAACCAAAAACTCCAGGGATAGCTGCCCAGAGGGAAATGAGGGAAAAAAAGGAAATGCTCCCTTCCTGGGATCTCCCACTTCCCAGTTTGCCAAGGAGAACTGAGCCCCAGGACAACACTGAGGCAAAGTCTCAATACTTTCTCCCCCTCCTCTCTGAAAAGAGAATAAAATGAAGGCTTGGCATACACACCATCTCGGAGACAGTGCCAGCTCCTGCCTCCAAGGAACTGATTCCAAGGTGAACTGCTGGTGGTGGAAGAAGTCCTTCAATACAGCATGTATTGGTTGCACTTGATGTACAGAAGAGGACATAGATGCTGAGGGACATAAAGATAAGCAGAGACCTTGTCTCCAGAGTTCACAATCCAATGGAGGAGGGAGACTTGACATCAGTATTCTAGTAGGAAGGCAACCTGTGAACCAGGCACATTTAGTTTCAACCTCAGCTCTGCCATTTACTCTTAAAATTTCCAAACCTCTGTATCTTCACCTGAAAAACAGGCTTAATGGTATTTGTGTATATAGGTGATTGTGAAGACTAGAAATGGGGTATAAAAAGTGCTTTGACTGGGTGTAGTGGCTCATGCCTGTAATCCCAGCACTTTGGAAGGTCCAGGTGTGAGGATCACTTGAGGCCAGCAGTTCAAGGCCAGCCTGGGCAACACACCCAGACCTCTGTCTCTACCAAAAAAAAAAAAAGTTTTGGCCGGGCATGGTGGCTCAGGCCTGTAATCCCAGCACTTTGGGAGGCTGAGGTGGGCGGATCGCCTGAGTTCAGGAGTTCGAGGCCAGCCTGGCCAACATGGTGAAACCCTGTCTCTATTAAAAATACAAAAATTAGCTGAGTGTGGTGGTGGGTGCCTGTAATCCCAGCTATTCAGGAGGCTGAGGCAAGGGGATCGCTTGAACCCAGGAGGTGGCGGTTGTAGTGAGCCGAGATCATGCCATTGCACTCCAGCCTGGGTGACAGAGTGAGACTCCGTCTCAAAAAATAATAATAATAATAAAACAAAATAAAAATTTTAATAAAAAAAACCACCTCCTACAGTGACTGGCATATGGTGAGTGTGCAATAGTGACTAGTGACTTTTTAATCATTCACACTGCCTGTGACAATAGGTATAATAGAATTACCCCCAAGGCGATTTTATTTTCACCAGATTTCAGATTTCAACCCCTTTATTCTAATATCATGGATTTGTTCAACAAACCCAAATTTCCCCTGCACACCATTATGACCACTATCCCTTCTAAGCCTTGCCCTCTCCACGTCATGGGCCATTTTTCATGACCCTTCTTTGAGCCCTCTCCTCTCCCAGAGCAGACACACTTAGGTGATAGGCACACTGCAGCCAGAACACTGAGTCTTTGATGGAAACCATGATAAATTGGCAGCTTCTGCCCTGGGGTAGCAGACCAAGTCCCTGCAAACCCTGCAAACTGTCCAGCATTGTGGGAAGCACTTGGGCTTTGGAATCTGACAGAGCTGGATTTGAACTCCAAGGTGTTCACTGTGGGTCTTTTGGCAAGGTACTGAATCCCTTGAGCCTCAGTCTCCCTGTCTGTAGAAAGAGGACACCAATACCTAATGAAGTGGCTAAGAGTATAACTGCATGGGTTTGAATTCCAGTTCTGCCAGTTGTGACCTTGGGTGAGAAATATCTCAGGGCTGCAGGAGTTTTCATCTGTAAAATGGGGATGTGAGTAGTTTTTATGGTGGGTAAGCAGATGATACGTAAAGTGCTTTAGCCCAGTGCTTGGCACATAGTATTTAAGTTTTAGTTATTACTGAACTGAACCGTGTGTGTAGAGAACTCAGCCAGGATGGGGTAGGGACAAGCAGAGAGGTGAGGAGCAGTCCTCTGGCCTAGTTTTGGTTGGGGTACAGAAAGACACACTGCCACTACTCTATCTCAGGTGCTGTCCCACAACCTGTACACGGTCCTGCACATCCCGCATGACCCCGTGGCCCTGGAGGAACACTTCCGAGATGATGACGACGGCCCTGTGTCCAGCCAGGGATACATGCCCTACCTCAACAAGTACATCCTGGACAAGGTGGGGCCCAGCTTGTAGGGGGCATCTGTAACCTCTCCCCACTTCTCCAGCCTGGCCAGCAGCCCAATACCTTGCCACTCCAACTCTTTGCCCCTGCCATAAGCTCCTACTTCTGCCTGCTGTGTCCATGCCTGCTGTCCCATCATATCCCTCACATCCCAGCCACCTGCCTCCTTCCTGTCCCCCTCAACTCACCTTCGGTGTCCCTCATCTCTAATGAGGTGGGCCGCACCCTACCCATAGCCTTCCACCGAACACCTGCCTGGCCCTCCTCCAGCTTCCAGCTATAACCTCTACAAAGGGTTCACTGAACACCTGCCCGGCCCTCCTCCCGCTTCCAGCTATAACCTTTATAAAGGGTTCTCCACCCTTCCCAGACTGTCCCCCTGACCCCCCCCCCAACTCCTCCAATCTGTCACTGTCTTTCCAGGTTCTTGGCTCTTAGCTTCCTGCTGGGTTTCTCTTCCTTTCTCCTCTGGGCTGAAAGACTAGAGTTACTCTGTTGTCAGGGGGCCTGGGGGGTGTGGGTGTGTTGTGGGGGGTGGAGTGGTTGGAACCAGCTAGTTACCTGGTAATCAGCTCAGGGATCCCTTGAGTTAGGGCCCTGGACTTGGCCAGGTGGGGAGCAGGGGCATAGATGAACCCCAGAAACCCAGCTGGAGCCTAGTGTCGTGGTAGAGCAGGGATATGCAGCCAGCTGATTTGCAGCCCTGGTGGCAGGTGGAGGAGGGGGCTTTTGTTAAAGAGCACTTTGATGAGCTGTGCTGGACCCTGACGGCCAAGAAGAACTATCGGGCAGATAGCAACGGGAACAGTATGCTCTCCAATCAGGATGCCTTCCGCCTCTGGTGCCTCTTCAACTTCCTGTCTGAGGACAAGTACCCTCTGATCATGGTTCCTGATGAGGTGAGGGTGATGGCAGCCCCAGGGACTGAATCACTTGGGACCAGACCTAAGCAAAACCATGAATGAGACCAAACCACCTTTGGTACCTCCCACATCCCTTTCTTCACCGTCTTCCCATGCTGGTATCTGTCCTCACCCAGCTGTCTCCAGATGCCTAGAACTGCCTGTGTCAGAGTAATTGTGCCTTCTTCCAGGAAAACTGAAATTAAACTTTCATGAGGGTTCTGCTGGTCCTCACTGTAGGAAAATGATCTGCACATTCTGTTTACACAGAGGTCTAAATGCCAGATACATTACTGAGCATTACTGGCAATCTAGGAAGGGTGCTTTTTTTTCCCCCTTTACCTTTTGCCACTTCTTCCAGGACAGGAAGGATGCTTTACAAGGCAAAGGGAGACCTTTCTGAGACAGGAGGTTACTCTGGTTCCAGATTTTCCCTTTCTGCCTTTCTTCTGGAAAGCTAGGACAGATTCAGCTAAAAGACCCAGGGAGAGGACATCCTGGGAGGGGAGGGCATCCTGGGAGAAAAGGCCAGGAATCTGGTCCCTACCTCCTCACTCCTGGGTGAAGCCAGGGAAGGCATTTTCCCATCCACCTGCACGCTCCCTCTTATCCTCATTTCCCTCCCCTGCCCATTTGGCCTTGTGACCCTTTAGTCCTTTTGGTGGCTGTGGAGATGCCAGGGTGACTTTAGGTCTCTAGAGTGGGGTTTACAGGAGAAGGAACCTCTGTACTTACGAGAAGCCCTAGCATGTCAAGCTCCACTCACATTTGTTCTGGCTTCTGTTTGTGGGAAGGGTGATGAAGGGAACCATCTGAGCCCTGAACCAGTGCCCTCTACTAAATGCCCAAACAAGACCCAGGAGCCCCCAGAAAGTCCTAAACAGAGTGTCCCAAAAAGTTGCTGGGGCAGGTGAGGGACATGTGTCCATCTGCACGGACACTTGGCTGGCTGCCCTTGTTAGACCCCTGCCAGTCAGGGCAAGGTGGCCTCTCGGAGGCCAGGTGGTTGCTTGCTTCTGTGATCAACATACAGAGTTAACAACTGCAGCAGGATGTACCCCAGCCACCACTTCCGGTTCCTCTGTAACAGATTTCCTGTCCCTGCCCAGCTTACCTCTACTCCCCACTCCCTACCACCTACCCCTACCCCAAATCCCCTTCCCCTCCCACAAGGGAAGGATCCCCAGGGTTGGAGATTGGGGCTTGCAATAAGGACCTGAATGGGATTCAGGAGATCAGAATCAGGTTCTGGCTGCCCCCAGTTTGCTGTGTGACTTAGAGCCAGTCACTTCCCTGTTTAGGCTTTGGTTTTGTCATCTGCAAAATGAGTGATTGGATGAGAGGGCCTTTGCACTCCCTTGACACTTTCTGTGGTTTATTGCCTCTTCCTGGACCCCAGATCTCAGGTCCCCTTCACCTTGCCCTTAAGATAGGAACGAGTGGGACGGGAGGTTGTGGAGGGGGAGAGAAATTCGGAGTTGGGGTTGGGGCTCCAGGATCCTCTCCCCGGTCTTTTCCCTGGTCTCCATAGCATTTGGTCCTCTGGCCCCCTCAACGGTCTGTCCCGTTTCCCTCTGCCCAGGCTCTCGGAGCCAGATAGAGCACTCCCTGGTGTTGGTGCTGGCAACACCGCTTGCTGCAACTACCAGGCCTTCCTTCTCCTGCTCCAGGTGGAATACCTGCTGAAAAAGGTACTCAGCAGCATGAGCTTGGAGGTGAGCTTGGGTGAACTGGAGGAGCTTCTGGCCCAGGAGGCCCAGGTGGCCCAGACCACCGGGGGGCTCAGCGTCTGGCAGTTCCTGGAGCTCTTCAACTCAGGCCGCTGCCTGCGGGGCGTGGGCCGGGACACCCTCAGCATGGCCATCCACGAGGTCTACCAGGAGCTCATCCAAGATGTTCTGAAGCAGGTCAGCCAAACTGGGAACTAGGGGAGGCGCACAAGGTGCAGGGCAAAGGGGGGCCTGGGAAGCCTCTGACGTAACTCTGGCTGGCAGGGCTACCTGTGGAAGCGAGGGCACCTGAGAAGGAACTGGACCGAACGCTGGTTCCAGCTGCAGCCCAGCTGCCTCTGCTACTTTGGGAGTGAAGAGTGCAAAGAGAAAAGAGGCATTATCCCGCTGGATGCACACTGCTGCGTGGAGGTGAGGGGCAGGATGGGGGTGGAGGACACCTCAGGGCCCAGAGCGTCCTCAGGGGCATGAGAAGACAAGGGGGTCAGGAGAGGGGCAAATGGAGAAAAGCCACGGTGACACAAATTCTGCTTAGATTAGTGTGACCCAAATATATCTGGATGCCTCAAGGCCATTCTCATCCATGTCAGCACTTAAAACTAAAACTGCAACTCAAACACCAAAGTAATTGGTGAATAATATGGAATTTGCTCAATATTTCAGAGGAAGTGGCTTATATCTATACTACACAGCAAATCTTTCTAAAAAAATCCCTTTTAAACGTTTTTCTTCTTCACCCATATTCCATTCTCTTTAGCAACTCTATACTTCCCTATTCTCCCTCCACACCCCTCTGCTCTGTCTTCCCCTTCTGTTTCCTCCCTTGTGTTCATTACTATTTTAGAGGCTTAAAACACAAGCCTCTTTACTATTTTAAATAATATATATATATGTGTGTGTGTGTGTGACATGAAACTTGCCATTTTAACTATTTTAAGTATACAATTCAGTGGCATTAAATACATTCATGAAATTAAAAAATTATTTTGATATACAACAGATGTACATATTTTCAGGGTACATGTGATAATTTAATACATTCACATATTTTGTAAAGATCAAATCATGTCATTGGGTATCCTTTACCTTAAATATTTCTTTATGATAGAAACATTCACATTATTCTCTTCTATTTTGAAATATACAATAGATTATTGTAAACTATAGCCACCCTACTGATCTATCGAAATCTAGGTCTTATTTCTCCTATCAAACTGTATGTTTATACCCATTCATCAACCTCTCTTTATCCTCCCCCGACACTTCCTGGCCTCTGGTAAGCACTAATATACTCTCTGTCTTCATGGTGATCCACTTTTTTAGCTCCCACATATAAATGAGAACCTGCAATAGTTGTTTTTCTGTGCTTGGCTTATTTCACTTAACAAAATGACCTATGGTGCCATCTATGTTGCTGCAAATGACAGGATTTCATTCTTTTTATGGCTGAATAATATTCCTTTATATATATCACATTTTCTTAATCTATTTATCCATTTATGGACACTTAGGTTGATTTCGTATTTTGGCCATTATGAATAGCTCTGCAGTAAACATGGGAAGGCAGATATTCTTCAATATATTGATTTACTTTCTTTTAGATATATACCCAGCAGTGGAACTTCTAGATCATATGATAGTTCTATTTTTAGTTTTTTGAGGAACCTTCATACAGTTTTCCATAGTGGCTGTACTAATTTACATTCCCACTAACAGTGTATCGGGGCTCCCTTTTCTCCACATCTTCTCCAGCATCTTTTTACAGAAAAGATATTCTTGACCAGGCACAGTGGCTCATGCCTGTAATCCCAGCACTTTGGGAGGCTAAGGCAGGTGGATCACCTGAGGTCAGGAGTTTGAGACCAGCCTGGCCAACATGGTGAAACCCCGTCTCTACTAAAAATACAAAACTCAGCTGGGCGTGGTGGTGGGCACCTGTAATCCCAGCTCATCGGGAGGCTGAGGCAGGAGAATCACTTGAACCTGGGAGGTGGAGGTGGCAGTGAGTCGAGATTGCACCATTGCACTTCAGCCTGGGCGACAAGAGTGAAACTCCATCTCCAAAAAAAAAAAAGATGTTCTCTATTTTTTTTTAATAAAAAGCCATTTTAACTGGGGGTGAAATGATATCTCATTTAGTTTTGATTTGCTTTTCTCTGATAATTAGTGACACTGAGCATTTTTTCATATCTCTGTTGGCCGTTTGTGTGTCTTCTTTTGAGAAATATCTATTCAGATCTTTTGCCCATTTTTAAATTGGATTATTTGGTTTTTGCTATAGAGTTGTTTGAGCTCCTTATATATTCTAGTTATTAATCTCTTGTCAGATGGATAGTTTGCAAATATTTTCTCCTATTCCATGGGTTGTCTGTTCACTTTGTTGATTGTTTCCATGGCTGTCCTGAAGCTTTTTAGCTTGATGTAATCCCATTTTTCTATTTTTGATTTGGGTGCCTGTGCTTTTGAGGTCTTCCACAAAAAATCTTGGCCCAGACCAATGTCCTGGAATAGTTCTCCAATGTTTTCTTCTAGTAGTTTCATAGTTTCAGGTCTTACGTTTAAATATTTAATACATTTTTATTGGATTTTTTTTATATAGTGAGAGATAGGGGTCTAGTTTCATTCATCTGCATATGGTTGTTTAGTTTTCCCAGAACCATTTATTGAAAGGAATGTTCTTTCCCCATTGTGTGTTCTTGGCGCCTTTGTCAAAAATGAGTTCCCTGTAAATGCATGGATTTATATCTAGGTGATCTATTCTGTTCCATTGTTCTTTGTGTCTCTTTTTATGCCAGTACTATGCTGATTTGGTTACTATAGCTTTGTATTACATTTTGGTATTTTGTTTTATTTTAGAGACAGAGTCTTGCTCTGGTGTCCAGGCCAGAGTGCAGTGGTATGACCATAGGTCACTGCAGCCTAATCTCCTTGGGCTCATGGGATCCTCCTACTTCAGCCTCCTGAATAGCTGGGGCTACAGGTGTGCACCACTGTGGCCAGTTTGTAGTGTATTTTGAAATCAGGAAGTGTGATGCCTCCAGCTTTGTTCTTTTTACTCACGATTACTTTGGCTATTTGAGGCCTTTTGTAGTTCCATATAAATTTTAAGATTTTTTTTCTATATCTATGAAGATTACCTTTGCTATTTTGATAGAGATTGCACCAAATCTATAAATTGCTTTGGGTAATAGTGTTATTTTAACAATATTAATTCTTCCAGTACATGAGGATGGGATATCTTTCCATTTTTTTGCATCCTCTTCAATTTATTTCATCAGTTTTATAGTTTTTCTTGTATAGATCTTTCACTTTGGTTACATTGATTCTTAGGTATTTTACATTCTTTGTAGCTATTGGAAATGAGATTGTGCTTCACTTCTTTTTCAGATTGTTTGCTGTTATTGTATACAAATGCTACTGGGTTTGTTTTTTTTTTTTTTTGAGATGGAGTCTCGCTCTGTCGCCCAGGCTGGAGTGCAGTGGCCAGATCTCAGCTCACTGCAAGCTCCACCTCCCGGGTTTATGCCATTCTCCTGCCTCAGCCTCCCGAGTAGCTGGGACTACAGGCACCCGCCACCTCGCCCAGCTAGTTTTGTATGTTGAATTATCCTGCAACTTTACTGAATTCATTCATCAACTCTAACAGTTTTTTGTTGGAGTCCTTTTTTTTTTTTTTTTTTGAGGAGGCAGAGTCTCACTTTTATCGCCCAGGCTGGAGTTGGAGTGCAATGGCGTGATCTCGGCTCACTGCAACCTCCCATGTTCAAGTGATTCTCCTGCCTCAGCCTCCCGAGTTAGCTGGGATTACAGGCACCCGCCACCACACCCGGCTAATTTTTTTTTTTTTTTTTTTTTTGGTATTTTTAGTAGAGACAACGTTTCACCATGTTGGCCAGGCTCATCTCAAACTCCTGACCTCAGATGATCCACCCGCCTCAGCCTCCCAAAGTGCTGGGATTACAGGTATAAGCCACCGCGCCCGGCCTTTTTTTTTTTCTTTTTCTTTTTTTTTTTTTTTTTTTAAGAGAGAGACAGGATCTCATTGTATTGCCCAGGCTCATCTCAAACTCCTGGCCTCAAGCAATTCAACCACTTCAGCTTCCCAAGGTGTTAGGATTACAAGTGTAAGCCACCACACCCCATGGAGTCTTTAGATTTTTCTAAGTATAAGACCATGCCATCTGCAAACAAGGCTAATGTGACTTCTTCATTTCCAGTTTGGATGCCATTCATTTCCTTGTCTTGCGTAATTGCTCTGGCCAGAACTCCCAATATTACGTTGAATAAAAGTGGTAAAAGTGGGCATCCTTGTCTTGTTCCAGATCTTAGAGGAAAGGCTTTCAATTTTTCTCCGTTTATTACAATGTTAGCTGTGAGTTTGTCATAGATAGCTTTTATTATTTTAAGGTATGTTCCTTCTATACCCAAATTTTTTAGGGCTTTTATCATAACACAATATTGAATTTTTTTAGAAAGCTTTTTCAGGGTCTATTGAAATGATCATATGGTTTTTGCTCTCAGTTCTGTTACTATGATGTGTCATGCATATTGATTTGTGCATGTTGAACCATCCTTGCATTCCTGGGATGAATCCCATCTGATCATGGGGAATGATCTACACTCTTACAATATTGTACAACCATCACCACTATCTATTTCCAAAACTTTTTCATCACCCCAAACAGAAACTCTGTACCCACCAAGCAGTAACTCCTCATACTCCCTGACCCCAGCTCCTAGTAACCTCTATTCTGCTGTCTCCATGAATTTGCCTTTTCTAGGTATCTTACATAAATAGAATCATACCATATTTGTCCCTTTGTATCTGGTTTCTTTCACTTAGAAATGTTTTCAGGCTTCATCTATGTTGTCAAATATATCAGAATTTCATTCCTTTTTAAGGCTGGATGATATCCCTAATGGTGTGTGAGGATCCCAATTTCTCCATTTCCTTACCAACAGTTGTTTTTCATTTAAAAAAATTATCATAGCCATCCTAGGATCCGTCTAATTTTGTCACATAAGGTGTTACTGTGTAAAGGAATGCAGATCTACGCAGAAGTCCCAGCCTCATCACTAACAGACTAACAGTGTGAGGTGGACAATCCTGGAGCTCTTAGTGCCTCAGTTTCTTCCTCTGTAAAGTGGAGCTAATAATGCCTGCCTGGCTAGGCTGTATAGGTGGAGTGAAGATAATGATGCATATAAAATGTTAGTACAGACTCTAGAATGTGGTAGCTATTATTTTCCACAGAATGTAAGCTTAGTGGAGGCAGAGATTTGGTCTGTTAGGCACACCTTAGTATCCCAACCCCTGGAGCAGTGAGTGGCACTCAGTAGGCACTCCAAAAATATCTGCAGAATGAATGAATTAACTCTTAACAAGCAGGGCTATGTCAAAGTGCGTTGTCATGGATAGTGAGGACCCTGTTACTGGCAGTGTTCAAGCGTGATCTGCATAAACACTGAGTGGCGACTATGTACTGGGCCCCGTGAAATAATAACAAGATGAAAACGCACCCACCTAGCCTTCAAAGAGCAAAGGCTACAGAGTTGTGGGGACATAAGTCCCCCATAACTTACGATGCAAGCCATGCAGGCTCCTGGCAGATGGGGTCCCCAGGGAAGATAGCCAGGAGGGCTAGGGGCTTGAGCTGGAGCATCCTTGGGGCAGGTGTGGCCCTGACCCAGTGAGGCTAGCCTGGCTGCCACCTACCCTGTCCCAGGTGCTGCCAGACCGCGACGGAAAGCGCTGCATGTTCTGTGTGAAGACAGCCACCCGCACGTATGAGATGAGCGCCTCAGACACGCGCCAGCGCCAGGAGTGGACAGCTGGTGAGTGCTCGCTAGGTGGCTTGGGTCTGGCTGGTCCTTAGGCGCCTCATCTGGGAAAAGGGGGTGATAATACTTTGTCCAGCGGGAGGTTGGGGGTGGACTCGGGCCGTGTGCGAGGATCCGACTGACCCGCTCCCGCTCCTCGGCAGCCATCCAGATGGCGATCCGGCTGCAGGCCGAGGGGAAGAAGTCCCTACATAAGGACCTGAAGCAGAAACGGCGCGAGCAGCGGGAGCAGCGGGAGCGGCGCCGGGCGGCCAAGGAGGAGGAGCTGCTGCGGCTGCAGCAACTGCAGGAGGAGAAGGAGCGGAAGCTGCAGGAGCTGGAGCTGCTGCAGGAGGCGCAGCGGCAGGCGGAGCGGCTGCTGCAGGAGGAGGAGGAGCGGCGCCGCAGCCAGCACCGCGAGCTGCAGCAGGCGCTCGAGGGCCAACTGCGCGAGGCGGAGCAGGTGGGGTTCGCTCCTGGCGCGGGGGACTGGACCGGCGGGCTGGGAGGCTGCGGGGCGGGCCAGCGGGGGAGCGCCAGGGGCGGGGCCTGGGCAGAGGGCGGAGCTCCTGGGTTGAGGGGCGCGCACTGGGGTGGGACTTGGAAAGAGGGATTGTTGGGACAGAGTCCGCGGGTTTGAAAGAGATTTGGGATGGAGCTTCCGCCGGGGGCAGGGCCTGAGGCTAAGGAAGGGGTGTGGGGCGAGGTCCAAGCCAGTGGATGGATGGGCCTGGTTCGGAGACCTTGGCTGTGGGTTGGGGCTTGGGCAGAAGGAGCCGTTGAAGACCGTGTGATTGGGGATTAGATTGGACCAAGTTTGGACTAGACTTGAACTGAGTTTACAGTGAAACCAGTTTGAGAGGCAAGCGGGACGTGTATGGAGGCGGACTAAGCGTGCAGAGGCAATTAGATTTAGGATTTAAGAAACCTGGATCTGGAGTCAGAAACATGTAGATTCAATCTTAGCTCTGCTTCTTACGAGCCCCGTGATGCCAGGCAGGCTCATTTTACTGAGCCTTATCTGTAAAATGCTAATGCTAATAGAACTTTGCTCACAGAGGTACGGTGAGGGTTAAATGAGGAAACACTTGTAGTAGTGTCCAGTAACTTTTCGTTGTTATAATTGGGTTATAGTCACCTCCTTCCTAGCAGCAGCCATGATTATAACATATTGTTATATATTATAATAATTATTAAGCTAGTGCTAGGAAGGAGATGACTATATTTTTGTATCTTATTTAATTATATAATGTTGTTTAATTACATATTATATAATTATGATTAAGGTTGGTACTAGAAAGGGAATACCTTTAGCCCGTTTCCCCCAAGTGGCATCTGTTCACTGACCATTATCTGTTCCAGTCAGGCTCTCAGAAAGGGGTCAGATCAGGAAACCCCAACATGAAGGCGTTCCCCAGACTGTTACCCCTAGGCAGCTTAGCAGAGTCCTGGGGAAAGAAGGGCAACATGCCCACCCCCTCCTCCCCTGCCCCCACGTGCCCCTTTTGACCTGGCTCTGGGTCCACCACCTCCCCACTCCACAGGCCCGGGCCTCCATGCAGGCTGAGATGGAGCTGAAGGAGGAGGAGGCTGCCCGGCAGCGGCAGCGCATCAAGGAGCTGGAGGAGATGCAGCAGCGGTTGCAGGAGGCCCTGCAACTAGAGGTGAAAGCTCGGCGAGATGAGGAATCTGTGCGACTCGCTCAGACCAGGTAGGCCTGAGGAACTTCTTCAGGTTCTCCCACCACCCCTCGTGGAACCCACCCCAATTTTCCTGCTTGCCGCGCACCTGCAAGGTGCCTTGGCACTAGAGACCACACAGTACACACTCGCCCGGCAGACTGCTGGAAGAGGAGGAAGAGAAGCTGAAGCAGCTGATGCAGCTGAAGGAGGAGCAGGAGCGCTACATCGAACGGGCGCAGCAGGAGAAGGAAGAGCTGCAGCAGGAGATGGCACAGCAGAGCCGCTCCCTGCAGCAGGCCCAGCAGCAGCTGGAGGAGGTGCGGCAGAACCGGCAGAGGGCCGACGAGGATGTAGAGGTGAGGCCTGGAGTGGGATGGGGTGAGGCTGGCAGGGTAAGCTCATTAGGGCACAGACTGTGGAGCCAGGCTGCCTTCCCTGAAACCCTGGCCCTAGCAGCCGCTAGCTGTGCGACTTTGGACAAATTCCCAAACTTCTTGGAGTTAGTCTCTCGCCTGGGAAAGGAAACTGGTAATAGCGTTGTTATGAAGATTAAATGAGATGATACACGATATTTAGTATGTAGTAAGTGCTGAAGAAACATTTGCTGCTATCTTTGTTCACATTATTATTAATCTGGGCAAAAATTTTTCCTTCTACCCTTCCAAGCCCCTGTCTTGCTATCCTTGTACTTTGGTTCCACTCCTTGGAGCCTGAATCTCCATAAATTCAAACACAGAAATATGTAACATAGAAAGGGAAAGTTCCTCCATGATCCCCCCGACCTCACAACCACTGCTAATGGCTCCGTGAAATGTTGAACAGAGGTTCTTGGATTAGGTCCTGGAAAGGTGGTGTAGTGCAGTGGCTTAGAGCTCAAGTGTATCCCTGGGCAAGTCACTTAACCTCTTTTGAACCTTTTTGTTGTTAACTTCTGCTCTGGAAGTTAAATAAGATAATAAGCACGCTTAGCACATCTTAGCTGCTCAATAAATGGAAACTATTTTTTTTATTATTATACTTTAAGTTCTAGGGTACATGTGCACAACGTACAGATTTGTTACATACGTATACATGTGCCATGTTGGTGTGCTGCACCCATTAACTCGTCCTTTACATTAGGTATATCTCCTAATGCTATCCCTTCCCCCTTCCCCCTCCCCACAATAGGCCCCAGTGTGTGATGTTCCCCTTCCTGTGTCCAAGTGATCTCATTGTTCAGTTCTCACCTATGAGTGAGAACATGCGGTGTTTGATTTTCTGTTCTTGTGATAGTTTGCTGAGAATGATGGTTTCCAGCTGCATCCATGTCCCTACAAAGGACACAAACTCATCCCTTTTTATGGCTGCATAGTATTCCATGGTGTATATGTGCCACATTTTCTTAATCCAGTCTGTCACTGATGGACATTTGGGTTGATTCCAAGTCTTTGCTATTGTGAATAGTGCTGCAATAAACATATGTGTGCATGTGTCTTTATAGCAGCATGATTTATAATCCTTTGGGTATATACCCAGTAATGGGATGGCTGGGTCAAATGGTATTTCTAGTTCTAGATCCTTGAGGAATTGCCACACTGTTTTCCACAATGGTTGAACTAGTTGACAGTCCCACCAACAGTGTAAAAGTGTTCCTATTTCTCCACATCCTCTCCAGCACCTGTTGTTTCCTGACTTTTTAATGGTTGCCATTCTAACTGGTGTGAGATGGTATCTCATTGTGGTTTTGATTTGCATTTCTCTGATGACCAGTGATAATGAGCATTTTTTCATGTGTTTGTTGGCTGTATGAATGTCTTCTTTTGAGAAGTGTCTGTTCATATCCTTTGCCCACTTTTTGATGGGATTGTTTGGTTTTTTCTTGTAAATTTGTTTGAGTTCTTTGTAGGTTCTGAATATTAGCCCTTTGTCAGATGAGTAGATTGCAAAAATTTTCTCCCATTGTGTAGGTTGCCTGTTCACTCTGATGGTAGTTTCTTTTGCTGCGCAGAAGCTCTTTAGTTTAATTAGATCCCATTTGTCAATGTTGGCTTTTGTTGCCATTGCTTTTGGTGTTTTAGACATGAAGTCCTTGCCCATGCCTATGTCCTGAATGGTATTACCTAGGTTCTTCTAGGGTTTTTATGGTTTTAGGTCTAACATTTAAGTCTCTAATCCATCTTGAATTAATTTTCATATAAGGAGTAAGGAAAGGATCCAGTTTCAGCTTTCTACGTATGGCTAGCCAATTTTCCCAGCACCATTTATTAAATAGGGAATCCTTTCCCCTTTTCTTGTTTTTGTCAGGTTTGTCAAAGATCAGATGACTGTAGATGTATGGTATTATTTCGGAGGGCTCTGTTCTGTTCCATTGATCTATATCTCTGTTTTGGTACAAGTACCATGCTGTTTTGGTTACTGTAGCCTTGTAGTATAGTTTGAAGTTAGGTAGCATGATGCCTCCAGCTTTGTTCTTTTGGCTTAGGATTGTCTTGGCAATGTGGAGTCTTTTTTGGTTCCACATGAACTTTAAAGCAGTTTTTTCCAATTCTGTCAAGAAAGTCATTGGTAGCTTAATGGGGATGGCATTGAATCTATAAATCACCTTGGGCAGTATGGCCATTTTCACGATGTTGATCCTTCCTATCCATGAGCATGGTATGTTCTTCCATTTGTTTGTGTCCTCTTTTATTTCACTGAGCAGTGGTTTGTAGTTCTCCTTGAAGAGGTCCTTCACATCCCTTGTAAGTTGTATTCCTAGGTATTTTATTCTCTTTGAAGCAATTGTTAATGGGAGTTCATTCATGATTTGTCTCTCTGTTTGTCTGTTATTGGTGTATAAGAATGCTTGTGATTTTTGCACATTGACTTTGTATCCTGAGACTTTGCTGAAATTGCTTATCAGCTTAAGGAGATTTTGGGCTGAGACGATGGGGTTTTCTAAATATACAATCATGTCATCTGCAAACAGGGACAATTTGACTTCTTCTTTTCCTAATTGAATACCCTTTCTTTCTTTCTCTTGCCTGATTGCCCTAGCCAGAACTTCCAACACTATGTTGAATAGGAGTGGTGAGAGAGGGCATCCCTGTCTTGTGCCAGTTTTCAAAGGGAATGCTTCCAGTTTTTGCCCATTCAGTATGACATTGGCTGTGGGTTTGTCATAAATAGCTCTTATTATTTTGAGATACGTTCCATCAATACCGAATTTATTGAGAGTTTTTAGCATGAAGGGCTGTTGAATTTTGTCAAAGACCTTTTCTGTATCTATTGAGATAATCATGTGGTTTTGTCTTTGGTTCTGTTTATATGCTGGATTACGTTTATTGATTTGCATGTGTTGAACCAGCCTTGCATCCCAGGGATGAAGCCCACTTGATCATGGTGGATAAGCTTTTTGATGTGCTGCTGGATTTGGTTTGCCAGTATTTTATTGAGGATTTTTGCATTGATGTTCATCAGGGATATTGGTTGGAAACTATTATTATGGTTACATTTTACCTTTGGGAGGTCCATGAGTCCCATGAAATTGGAGGCAAACTCTATTCATGTATATATTAATAACTCTTCATGAGCATACATGGTTCTTCTCTGGGGAGATGATCAGTAGTCTTGGTCAGATTTTAAGCAGCCTGTGAACCTGAAAAGATCAAGACTCCATGCCATGGATGATGGTTCTGATCACTCCCCACTGGCCCTGCCCCCACAGGCTGCCCAGAGAAAACTGCGCCAGGCCAGCACCAATGTGAAACACTGGAATGTCCAGATGAACCGGCTCATGCATCCAATTGAGCCTGGAGGTGAGAAGGGATAGACTCTGGAGCTTTCCCTGGAGCTGGGCGAGAGAAAAGAGGGAGAAAGGGATACCTCCAGATCTCCTAGGGCCAGCAAAGGTAGGACTGGCAGTCAGGAGGCTCCCCTCTCCTCCAAGGGCTGAGGCAAGGCCCCTTGCCTCTTGCCTTTGCATGCCTTTCTCCTTACTTGCCTGCCTTCTCTCTGCCAGATAAGCGTCCGGTCACCAGCAGCTCCTTCACAGGCTTCCAGCCCCCTCTGCTTGCCCGCCGTGACTCTTCCCTAAAGCGCCTGACCCGCTGGGGATCCCAGGGCAACAGGACCCCTTCGCCCAACAGCAATGAGCAGCAGAAGTCCCTCAACGGTGGGGATGAGGCTCCTGTCCCGGCTTCCACCCCTCAGGAAGATAAACTGGATCCAGCACCAGAAAATTAGCCTCTCCTAGCCCCTTGTTCTTCCCAATGTCATATCCACCAGGACCTGGCCACAGCTGGCCTGTGGGTGATCCCAGCTCTTACTAGGAGAGGGAGCTGAGGTCCTGGTGCCAGGGGCCCAGCCTCCAACCATAAACAGTCCAGAATGGAACCTGGTTCACCCTTCATACCAGCTCCAAGCCCCAGACCATGGGGACTGTCTGGGGTGTTGATCCTTGAGAACTTGCCCTGTGCTTTAGACCCAAGGACCCAACCCCTGGGCTGGGAAAGAGTGAACAAGCAAGCTGGGGCCACCTGCCCCCAGGTGGCCACCAAGTTGTGGAAGCACATTTCTAAATAAAAACTGCTCTTAGAATGAATTATTGGCTCAGGTCTGTCCATCTCTCCTGCCACTTCCTCCCTTCCTCCCTCAAGCCCAGTTATAGGTTCCAAAGGGCAGTAAAAGTATAATAAAGTGGTTAGGAAAGACCCTGCAGCTAGACTGCCTGGGTTCTGAACCTGGCTTTGCTACTTACTAACCGATTGACTTTGGTCAATTTTCTTTATATCTCTGTGTTTCAGTTCCCATGTTGGTAAAATACAGATAATGATTATACTTACCATATAGGGTTATATGAGGATTAACTGTTTGGCACATGAGCGAGCACCATTATTAGTATCAGCCAAAAGTGTTTATTAAGTGTGTACTACAGTTTTCCAGGTGATTTAATTTTCATGACAACTCTCAGAACTGGAAATCATCATTGGCATTTTACAAATGGATGAATTGAGGTTCGGGGAGATTTGGTAACTTTCCCAAAGCCTTTCAGACTTGCTTTTCTTCCTGTAATCTCTGACTCGCTGACCTTGTTACCCAAGACAGAGATCTGGGTGTTTGGGAGATTCACGTCCTCTCTCTCAGCCCCTCGTCCAAACCCATCATCAAATCCAATAGATCCTCTCTCCTTCCTACTCTCATATCTGTCCCTCCTTTTCCATCCCCATGGCTACTGCCATGGCTGAGGCCTTTGTGTTTTCTACCTGGTTGTTAACCTTTAACTCCTCCTCCGCCTTGCCTGTCTCACCAAGTCCAACTGATTGCATTTCCTTGATTACTCTCAGATCCACACTTTTGAGGCCACGTCTGTCATGGCTACTGCCTTATTCTGGCTCTTGTCACTTCCCAACTAGGTAAGAGCAGTAACCAGGTCTCCTTGTCAACCCCTCTCCCCATTGCCACCTGGATAGGATTTCTAAAATGCAGATTTGTCCTTCACTCTTCCCAGTTTCCAGTCCCTTGGTGGTATCCTAGAGTTTTGATATTTAAATTCACATTACCATATGTGGCAGATGAGGCCCATGGCGATCTGTCCCAGGAGGGCCTCCTATGCCTCTGCCTCATGGAGCTATTGGCAGCTCCCTCTAGGCCTCACACTGACTTCCTTTCCCCCATCCTTGTAACAGCCTTCATAACTAAATGCCTGAGCTCCTCAAGGTCAGGGACATATCTTCTTGAACTAAGAGCCATGGTGATTGGCTCTTAGGAGGCATGCAACAAATATTTGTCAAATACATATATGAATGAATAAATTCTGAAGCGAATAATTCAGGTGTCACAAATCCAAAAATTTATGGAGTAGCTGAAATTCAAATTCAAGTTCATTCGTTTTCCAGGTCTCTATAAAAGACAGGGTCTCTACAAAACCTGGCTGGTCTCCAACTCCTGGGCTCAAGCAGTTTTCCCGCCTCAGCTTCCCAAAGTGCTGGGATTACAGGCAGGAGCCAATGCACTCTGCCCTCAATCAACAAATGTTTATTAAGCTCTTATTATATGCCAGCTTCTGGCTATATTGTACAGAACAGAAACAGAGTCTCTGCCTTCCTGCAGTTTATGTGGTATCTGATTTTTTGAAACCAAGTCTCACTCTGTCACCCAGGCTGGAGTGCAGTGCCTGATCTTGGTTCACTGCAACCTCCACCTTCCAGGTTCAGACGATTCTCCTGTCTCAACCTCTGGAGTAGCTGGGATTACAAGCGTGTGCCACCACATCTGGCATTTTTTTGTTGTTGTTTTGTACTTTTAGTAGAGACGGGGTTTCACTACGTTGGCCAGGCTAGTCTCGAAATCCTGGCCTCAAGTGATCTGCCTGCCTCAGCCTCCCAAAGTGCTGGGATTACAGGTGTGAGCCGCTGTGCCTGACTTTGCAAGTACACTAAACCTGATTGCAAGGAACTTCATTACAGTCTATTTAAAGTGTCGTGAAACAAAGCTGCTAATATAATGATGCAGATTTCAAGGATGAGCCATGAAGCTCAAACTCTAAGTGCTGTAGGAATTCAGAGAAAAGGCAAGTTTTAGGTAGAAGCTGGGATTTGAGATTAAAGGCAGCCAGGTGCGGTGGCTCACACCTGTAATGCCAGCACTTTGGGAGGCCAAGGTGGGTGGATTGTTTGAGCTCAGGAGTTCAAGACCAGCCTGGGCAACATGGAAAAAATCCATCTCTACAAAAAGTACAACCTCCTGAGCCCAGGAGGTTGAGGCTGCAATGAGCTGTGATCATGCCACTGCACTCCAGACTGGGTGATAGAGTGAGACCCTGTCTCAAAAAAAGACAGAAATTGTATCCATCCTCTGTAACGATTGATTTTTGTTTTTCTTTTTTTTAATTTTTAAATTTAATTTTATTTTAAATTTTAATCTATTTATTTATTTTGAGACTGGGTTATGAGACTGGTGAATTTTTGTATTTTTGTAGAGATAAGGTTTCACCATGTTGCCCAGGCTAATCTTGGGCTCAAGTGATCCACCCACCTTGGCCTCCCAAAGTGTTGGGATTACAGGCATGAGCCACCACACCTGGCCAGTAACTATAATATTTTAAATTAATGATGAAAAATACTACGTGTTATCTTAAAAATGTGCAAGGTGGCTGGAGGCAGTGGCTCATGCCTGTAATCCCAGCACTTTGGGAGGCCAAGGTGGGAGGATCACTTGAGACCAGGAGTTCAAAGTCAGCCTGGGCAAAATAGTGAGCCCATGTCTCTACAAAAAGTAAAAAAAATTAGTCAGGTGTGGAGACATGTGCCTAGAGTCCCAGCTACTGGGGAGGCCAAGGTGAGAGGATCCCTTGAGGCCAGGAGTTGGACACCAGCCTGGGCAACATAGTGAGACCCCATCTCCACAAAAAATTTAAAAATAATTTTTTTTTTTTAAATTACCTAGGTGTGGTGCGTGTGGAGGTCAAGGCTGCAATGAGCTATGATCACGCCACTGCACTTCAGCCTAGGCTACAGAGTGAGAATCCATCTTATAAAAAAAAAAAGAAAGAAAAAAAATGTGCAAGAGGTCCAGGGCCCAGATCAAAATTGCCAATCCAAAAGAAGTTTCCTCTGTCAGGCAAGTTATTATCACTAGTTCTGCTGCCAGTATTAGTCAGGCCTGGTATCTAATCAATGCCAGGCTTTTCTCTGAGAAGGGAATGGGGTGTGGCTAGAGCAGTGTAGATTCCCACATAATCCCTTTCTGCTGTTTTCTTCTGACCTAACTGTGGAATTTTTGGGGTCAGTGATTCCAGGGTTTTTTGGTTTTTGTTTGTTTGTTTGTTTGTTTTTGAGACAGAGTTTCCCTCTTGTCTCCCACGCTGGAGTGCAATGGTGCAATCTTGGCTCACTGCAACCTCCGCCTCCCAGGTTCAAACAATTCTCCTCCCTCAACCTCCCAAGTAGCTGAGATTACAGGTGTGCACCACCACACCCGGCTAACTTTTTGGATTATTAGTAGAGATGGGATTTCACCATGTTGCCAGGCTGGTCTTGAACTCCTGACCTCAGGTGATCTGCCCACCTTGGCCTCCCAAAGTGCTGGGATTACTCACGCCTGGCCTGATTCGATGTTGTAAATAATTTGTAAGTATTCAGTTTATACACAACTTTATCATCTGCCAAGAATTTTAAAATAATGTTCTCTGTTCAGCTGTCAGTGTTGAAACACATATTTAATATTACAAGCTTTTCCCTGGTTTTAGTTTTGTTTGGAGTTTTTTGACTTATGAATATTATTTCTGTTTGTCAATAAGAAATGTAAGACTGGAATGTTAATAAATTTCAGTTTAGTTCTATAATGTCAAGAATTTAAGAATTTAAAAAATTACTGCAGGAAAAAGATAGTCGTGAAAAAAAAAAAAATTAAAAAGGCCCAGGGCTGGGCGCGGTGCCTCACGCCTATAATCCCAGCACCTTGGGAGGCTGAGGCAAGTGGATTGTGAAGTCAGGAATTCAAGACCAGCCTGGCCAACATGGTGAAACCCCATCTCTACTAAAAATACAAAAATTAGCCAGGCATGCCTATTAGTGGAGCATGCCTATAGTCCCAGCTACTCGGGAGGCTGAGGCAGAAGAATTGCTTGAACCCAGGAGACAGACATTGCAGTGAGCTGAAATCACGCCACTGCACTCCAGCCTGGGTGACAAAGCAAGACTCCATCTCAAAAAAAACCAAAACAAACAAACAAAAAAAACCAAATTAGGCTGGGTAGGGCCAGGTGCAGTGGCTTACACCTGTAATCCCAGCACTTTGGGAGGCCAAGATGGGAGGATCATGAGGTCAGGAGTTCGAGACTAGCCTGGCCAACATGGTGAGACCCCATCTCTACTAAAAATACAAAAATTAGCGGGGCATGGTGGCGTGCACCTGTAGTCCCAGCTACTCTGATGGCTGAGGCAGGAGAATCACCGGGAGGCAGAGGTTGCAGTGAGCTGAGATCATACCACTGCACTCCAGCCTGGGCAACAGAGTGAGACTCCATCTCAAAAAAAAAAAAAAAATTAGACTGGGTGTGGTGGTGTGCACCTGTATTCCCAACTACTCTGTAGGCTGAGGTGGGAGAATTGTTTGAGTCCAGGAGGCAGAGATTGTAGTGAGCCATGATAGTGCCACTTCACTCCAGCTTGGGTGACAGAGTGAGACTCTGTTTCCAAAAAAAAAAAAAGAATGTAAAAAATTGATTGGCTTAAAAATGTTTCATCTTAGATAAAGCTTGCAATTACTATCTTAAAAAATATGCAAGGGGCTGCATGGTTCTTATATATTCTCTCAGGATTGGAAGGGCAGACAATTTTGAAGATCACTGCTATGGAGAACCATGAGTAGAAAGTGGAGTGAGACCTGGTTATAGAGATTCTTGGAAGCTATGCAGAGTTTAGATTTGAGGTGGCAAGCCAACCTCTGATGCTCAGTTTCCTCACCTGTAAATGGGGTCCATTCCAGACTTTTAAATATTCTATGGTGGGACATAGGGAGGGATTGACAGTGGAGGCATGATATAGTGATATAGTGAAAGGAAGATCACTCAGACACCTGAATGCGAGCCATGTTGGGACT